CATGATCAGAGGCAGATATGTCTAAACTGATCCACAAATATCAGGAGATAGGAACTTCTTGTGTGTTTTTGTGTTGCACTGTTAGCAAATGTCCTCAGCTACATGGTGTATACATGTAGGCGCTGCTTCTTCAAATTTGAGCCCTGTTATATAATTATTTCAATAGTTTGGGTTTATTTTATTAAACAGTTATAAATTTTCTCCCACCAAGAGATGGCTTTAGAGAAATTCACTCTGAACTCCAAATACAAAGTTATCCCATTATATGTCTTTCTAAAAATTATCAAAATGGAAGCAGAACATTTAGTATAACTCTCACAAAATTGTTAGCTCTTTTTATCAGATTGTTATCTCTGGGTAATTACCAATTGTTTTGGTGAGAAATACATCTTAAATTATTTCAAAAGTCTTCAAATGACCAAATTAGAAATTATGGCCCAATAGCAACACATTGTGTTATAGGAAAGTTTTATATCTTACAAACTGTCACCAACACAATAGGCATGGTTGAAAACCTTCAATTACATTTTATTCCAGATAGAACAAAAGTGTGTGTACTTCTTGACTTTCAAGAGGTTGGTTCAACAATTCCACTTTCATGCATATGACCCATGTAGTTACTTAGATCATTAGATCTCCTGGCTTTCTCTGGAAGAATTCACATTAATTTACTTACCAGTAATCTTTCTTTAGCTTTTTTTTAATCTTACTGTATTCATAACATAGAATTTCCTTTGATGGAGGAAAGGAAGTAAAGCGATAACAGGTGTTCAATAAGAAACTGTTACGCTGTACCACAATTATTCTGGCCTACTCCACAAATCTTTGAGGCATGCTACGGAAAAGCTCAAAGAAAAGTCTAACATTAAAAGTTACACATTTTTTGGTGTGTTTACAAGATAGATCCCTTCACATTCTATGGTTCCAAACAGAAAAAAAATGAGGTTTTCCTTTTTAAAACTATTTCAGAATAATCCATATTACTTCATAGGAAGTAAATTAGTAATAGTAGAATATCTACAGCATCCAATACAAAGGAGATCTGTTTTCTCATGGATTTGACTCTGACCGTGTCTCTATAATGGAATAAAATGATACAGTTATCTAATAAATTAAAAGTTAGAAGAATTGGATTTATGAAAAGGAAAAAGTGAGAGGGACTTCACAGACTTTAAGAACATGGGAAAGTGATTTTTCAAGGCAAGCTATCTGATACTGTAAAATGAATATTTCACTGGAAAATCAGGCAGGTTTGGAACAATTTTCAAAGCTCCAAGGCCACAGTCAATTGGATGCATTAGACTATTCTTTGGTATCCATTTGGAGACTTCAAGCTCGGAATGGGCTGCCTGGCTCATCCTTCAAAGCACCTTTTCATCAAGTGAAAAACTGATCTGGGCTTATATCAAAGCAAAGAGGCTGGAATGATCTCTGTGAGAAACCATGGTTTGTAGGCTCTTTCATCAGAGGACTACAAATATTTTTTATACATTATTTTAAAAATTATTTCCCCAAGTTCTTGGGTTCAAAATAACCATATAACTAATGGCACATGCTTGATATAATATGACTATAATAAAGTGAATATGTGATAAATCAAATATAAAATTATATTATCTGAAAGACTAGAATCAGCCTTTGTTTTATGATAAACTTGTTTCCATTTCCCTCTACTTAACTTCCCTCTACTTCTGTATTGGTAAGCATTTTTATTACTGGGACCAAATACCCAACATCTGCAACTTAAAGGAGGAGAGGTTTAATTTGGCTCATAGTTTCAGGGAATTAGTTCATGGTTGGCTGGTTCCAAAGCATAAACATCATCGAAGAATAGCATGGCAGAGGAAAGCTGTTCATGACATGGTGGCCAGAAAGCAGAAATATAAGAGAAGAGCTAGAGAAGAGAATATACCCTTCCAAGTCATGAAGCCTACTGATCTGCCCCTTCTGATCAGGCCTCACCTCAAAAGCTAAGACTTTTAGGAGACATTATGGATAAAAACCATAACATACCTCACCCGAGCCACATTTTCACTATGGAAAATGTCCATCTCATTATACAAAATGCATTTTGTGCATCTCTAAGAGTTCCTAAATTCTTAATAGTTCCAGCATTACTGAAAGTCTAAGTCCAAAATCTCCTGTACAAATCAAGGCTGTGAGCCCCTTGAAAATCACAAAAATGTTAAATGTTTCTAGCATACAATGATACAGAGTAAAAAAACTTCTATTCTAAAAGGGAAAAAAAAGCAGAGAGAAAGAAGAGCAAAGCAAGACCAAAACCTAACAGGACAAACATTACATTCTATACCTCCATGTCCAGTATCTGGGGCAAACAGTGATGAGAAATAAGCTCCAAAAGTATTGGGCAGTCCCACCTTTATGGTAGTTCTGGTTGTCGCCCACATAGCCTCTCTCTTGAGCTGGTTCTGCTCATTCTCCAAGATTTTCCTCAGCAGACATTCCACATTCTTGGCATTTTTGACTTCCCAGGGTCTCCACTGCACCTTTGTTGTTGCTATCATAACTACGCATACCACACTCTCAGACATAACTACATATATCACACTTACCTAGCTTCCCAGGCCATCCTGTGAAATCTGTGTGGAAGCCTCATGACTCTACAACTCTTTCACTCTGCAAATCTGAAAAACAAGTGTCATCATCATTTTGGTGATGTCAAAATCAGCTACCAGCTCTAGCAGTAGTCTAGCCTCCTTGAACCATGGCTCCACAAGCTTCTGAAAACCTTGATGACCGAGCACCATGAAATGAATCCTGGAAAACCAATACCCTAGGTGGCCCTTCCAGCAGGGGCCCAATGCCTCTCTTCTCAAATAAAAAGCTTATACTTTGGCACCTTTGAACCTGTGATGGATGGGGTCTTGCTGGTTCCTGAGATACCTTTAAGTCATCTTCCCTGTTGCAAAATACTTGGCTTGTTTTTAATGCTAATCCACACTCTTCTTTCTTTTTAGTGCAGCCACACTCTTCTTCACCTCAACTTTACAAGCATTTCCTTTCAGACCAAGCTATATGTCATTTGGCTGTGATTTTTTGCTCGTGATTGTGAACCAGTTCCAAAGGCTTCAAAGCAACATGGTCAGTCACAGTACAGCAACTACCCCACTACTGGCACCACTTTTCTGTATTAGTCAGCTTTCCCATTGCTGGGGCAAAATACATAAAACTTGCAACTTACAGAAGGAGAGGTTTAGTTTGGCTCACAGTTTCAGTGGATTCAGTCCAAGGTAGGCTGGCTCCAAGGCAGAAATGCCATGGAAGAATGGAATACGAGAGGGAAGCTATCCATCATTTGGTGGCCTAGAAGCAGAAAGAGAAGAGAAGAGCCAGAAGTGAGAATAAAGCCTTCCAATTCATGCCCTCAGTGACATGCTGCATCTGACTAGGTCTCACCTTTGAACATGAGATTTTGGGGGGCATTTTAGATCTAAAAAATAACCACTTCCATGACAATGTTATGGTTCAGACCTAAAATATCCCTCCAAATACTAATGTGTGTGGAGGATGATTGGATCGTGGGGGAGCTGTACTCATCAGTGGACTAATCCACTGAAGAATCCACAGTTAAATGTGCTGTTAGGAATTGGGGCCTATTTGGAAGAGGCAGGGCACTGGAGACATGACCTAGAAAAATATACTTCCCTTGCCACCTTCTCCCCTCTCGCCCCCACCTCCTTTCCAACCATCAGCATTCCTCTGTCCAGGCCCTTTCACTATGACCTTCCTGCCTTGGAGCCAGCTAACTGTGGACTGAAAACATGAACCAAAATAATGTCTCATCTTTTAAGGGTGGGCATCGGGTATTTTGATCCAGTGATGAGAAAGTAGCTAAGATATTAAATCTTTATAAAAGTAAAAAAAGTACTAGTGTGTATATTCAATGTTGGGGAAAGCTGCATAAAATATAAACATGAAATCTCTCTTAGAAACAATCTAAGTGTCCATAGACTGATAAATGAGTGAAGAAAATATGACGTACATATAATGGAATAATATATAGTGATAAAAAGAATTGAATCCTGTCATTTTTGACAGCATGGATGAAACCAGATAGCTTTATGTTTAGTGAAATAAACCAGGCTCAAAAACAAGTACTACATGATCGTACTCTTGTAGAATCTGAAAAGGTTGATTTCAAAGAGATTGAGAAGCAAATGGTTATTATAAGAAGCAGGAGAGAGTAGGAGGTAGGAAGGGATGGGCACAGGTTGATTGGTGATAATAAGCTATATTAGATAAAAGTAAGACTTTCTGTTGTGCTATGGCTATGGATAACAATAAGGTACTGATTATTTCAAAAAACTTGAAGAGGGCCGGGAATTCAGCTCAGTGGTTCTGCTGCCTAACCCACAAGTGCAAGGACCTGAGTTCGATCCCCAATACAAAAAAAAAAAAAACTGGAAGAAAGGATTCTGAATATTTCCTCCACAAATAATAAATATTTGAGAATATATATCTGTTTAACCTGAACACATGCCCCTAGTGACCTACACTTCTCACCAGGCCCACCTTCAAACATAAGATTTTCGAGGGCATTTCAGATCTAAACCACAACTTCTATGAATGTAAGTGTTATGGTTTAAATCTAAAATGTTCTCCAAAATTCTAATATTCATGGTACTCCATGAAAAAAATCTTTCTTGTAAAGAAATTTATTATTTATTTATTTATTTATTTATTTATTATTGTACTGGGGATTTAACCCAGGACCTTCACACTGAGATATATTCTAGCAGGTTTTTTGTCTGCTTGCTTGTTTTTGAGAAAGGGTCTTATCAACTCACTAAATTGCCCAGTTGGGCTCAAACTTAGATCCTCCTGTCTCAATCCCCTGGGAACTCTCTGAATTAGATGTAAGTATCTGTGGTGGATTGACTAATGGTCAACTTGTAATGCCCTGCTTTACTGAATCGGCGTGGTCTGGGTGTGGAGGATCCACAACTATCATCTCATCTGCAGTTTCTTTTGCCATACAGGGTCACATTTAAAGGCTCCAAGAGATAGACATCCATGTCCCGGAGAGACTGTTTTTCTGCCTCCTCTAGCCTCCTTCAACACCTCCAGGTACTATACAGGCTTCCATATCTTGTGGAGAGACAGCAAGTCACTGCCACTGAGCCACTCACCTTTTACCTGAGGCTAATCAAGAGAGAACACACTCTCTGAACTCGATTTGTTGCCTCTAGAAATACAGTACTACTTCTCCAGTTCACTGTGAAGCTCCTTGTATATGTTCTCTCAGTGAGGAAATTAAGTTTTGAACGATTTTTGTCTTCCATTCACATTCTTATATTTCTTTGCAATAAATCTCATAATTCTGCACACAACTCTAATTTGAGCTTACTGATCTATATAATGGGCCCAATAGCTTGACTGAGTGTAGAAAATTATATTTAGGCTGGATCTTAAAAAAGAAGACTGAAAAGTATTTTTTTCTGAAAAACCGCATAATTAAGGCCACATAAATGTTGAGAACTGTACGAGTTGCTTCATGCAAATGTTTTCATTTATTCCTCATAACAACCCTGGAATGTAAGTGCCATTCTGCTGCTAAGAAAAACAAGGATGAGAGAGGCCATGTTACAACTAATAAATTTTAGCACTAAGACATAAATCTTGGCTGCAAAGCCCTGCCCATCGTCAGCTAGGAGAGAATGGCAAAAATGAGAAATCATTACTCCAGGAAGAGAGCACAGTTTGTACAAAGACATGTAACTAATCAGATTCATTTTACTTTTAGCTGAGGAGGAAAACAAAAAAGATGAGAAAGCTGAGCTTGACAAATGAAGAAGTGATAGAAACTGAGAAACAAGCAGTGCCTATAAATCTAGATGAAGCCTGTGGATATGTCTTAGAGGATTTTAAATAAATACAGGACTCAGAAAGCCCAAGTGTAAGATTTCTTGCAAAACTTGTAAAGATCCCCAAATTCTAGCCAGACAAGAAATTTTACAGGTCCAAATCATCACTCCCCCCCGCCATTCTTTGCATAAACTGGAGTATCTGGAGTTTGGGAAGGGGCCTCATCTCCTTCTTGCCTGCTTTAGATACTGAAAGTAAATCTAAGGTTTTATAATTTGGTCAAAAAGAAGGATAATAATGTGGAAAATCCTTCCTTGTTCCTTGTCATAATTTTACAAAAGGGCATTGACTAAGCTTTCTCTAGAGAAATATGTGTATTTTTAAATACATATATAGTGTGTATGTGTATTAGTATATATATGACAAATTTTATACTAAGGAATTTGCTTGTGAAATTATGGAAGATGGCAAGTTCAGTATCTGTGGGGTGAGCCCACAGGCTGGAGACACATGAAGAATCTTAGCTGTATTTCAAGTGCACAGGCAGACTATTGCTGGAGTCCCTTTTTTTTCGGGGAGATCGGTCTTTTGGTCTACTGGGGCCTTGAGCTCATTGGATGAGGGCCAGCTCATGTGATGGGGAACAATCTGCTTTAGGCAAAGTCTGCCAATTTAAATGTAAATCTCAACCAAATCACCATCACAGAAGTATTCTGAATAATGCTTGACCATATTCAGTGGTCAGCCATGCTGACACATAAAATCAGTCACCACAAGTAAGGTAGCAATTATTCCTGCTTTACTAACTTCAAGGCCCCATATTTGGTTTTTTAGTTGTTTGGTAAAGTGGGTGGAGCTCACAGAATCCAATTAAAATTCTTGAAATTTCTTGTAGAAGAGAAACAATTGTGTCCTTTTTATAATTGGCTAATTTAGAACATCAGAGAATTCTATACCCCTAGGGTAGCATTAGGAAAAGCTCTGGAGCCTGTATGATTCATTTTTTATTTAGCCATAGTTATTGATCCTGCTAGCCAGTAGATGTGCTACATGAGAAAAAGCTGAAAAAAAGTAATGACTCCTGAGGCCAGAGACCAATGTAGACAAAAAAATTTAGTTTCTTGAATACATTTGAATAGTTCCCTCTTATGTTTTCTACATATACTGTATATAGACAAAAATCATCTAAAATTTTCCAAAATTTCCATAAATAAATATTCATGTGCATGCAAATATATACATATATGTCTCACCTGGGAATATTTCTGCATTTAAATAAATAAATACTTAAATATGTGCATTAAAATATTCCTTTATTAAATGTAAAAAGCTAGTCTCATACATGATGCTAAAAATTCCTGAAGCATTCTCACTGAGGTCAGAAGAAAACAAGGATGTCCACTATGTCTCAACACTGTTTCTTTATTTTTTAGAAAAGGGGAAAATAACATGAAAACAAGAGAAAAAAATTGAGATAAAATTTTCAGAAGTCAGAGTTTC